CCAGCTCCGAGCCCAGCCCCTGTGCGCCAGGCACCCTCCTGACCCCAGCTGCCCACAGCCCTGAGCCCAGCCCCTGTGCGCCAGGCACCCTCCTGACCCCAGCTCCCCACAGCCCTGAGCCCAGCCCCTATGAGCCGGGCACCCTCCAACCCAGAGCCCAGCTCCCCACCCAGCCCTGGGCAACAGCAGCACCACCCCCAGGCAGCGACAGTCCGTTGGCACCAACCATCACCCAGCAACAGCCCATTATGTAATTGCAAATGTATACATACTATTAAAGTATTTAACGTTTTTAAATAATGTATTTAGTGTATTTTCAAATTATTACAAATTAATTTTTGAATGTATTTCACTGGTTATTTTTTACATTTCCAAATACATGTTACTATAGTATTGCAGCTTTTTTTATGGAAGGGGCCCCCGAAATTGCTTTGCCCCAGGCCCCCTGAATCCTCTGGGCAGCCCTGACTTGATTTCCCACTATCTGCAACCCAAGTAGACGCTATAGAGTTCTTCAGGGATTATGTCCATATGAAATGTTAAATTTGGTGGCTTAGCTCCCTTGATAAAAATGTGCTTATATTTTTTTCCCCTTTATATTGTTTGACATGCATTTTTTCCACTCCGTCCCCAGACCTCAAAAATGGTGTTAGAGATTTTGCTTCCAGAAATTCTCTTTTCAAACAGAGACCCAGACATAAGTACTGTCTGGCCCAAAGGTGAATGTTTTAGGAAGTGATGCACATATGAAAACGGGAGATTCAAAGAGAAACTGCCTATGAACTAGACTTGTACCAGGTGCTACCAATCTTATGCTCAGACCTTGCCTGCTACAGTAACCCCATCTGCACAGATCTGCAGAAAACTGCACAGTCGTCTTTTCTCAAAAGAAACTTACAAAGTCCACCTGTTCCAGGCTTTGCCTGTAGAGCTTTGTCAGTAACAGAATTTACTCAAAATATATATTTTGCTTGTCTTTCTGACTTCTCCCAACAGCTCCATGGCATCCCCAAAGAGATTGCAGGGTCTCACAGCAGCTACAATCACTCCAATGACTCCAGATGGGTAAATATTACCTCTCCCCACCAAAAGAGTTGCTGTCAATGACAATTAATGTATTGTGAACTTTTCCCCAGAACCTTACATTTTCCTACTTGCTTTTCTGCAACTATTTTTTTTTTTAAGTTAACTTTCTAACCGTGTTCAACATCCCAAGAAGACAAAGGTTTGTGAAGGCTTTTGTTTGACTGACTAATCCCCTTCCTTACAGTCCTGCAGTACTAGGAGCAGAGGTTAATTTTGTGGTGGGCAGCTTACTCCGAGTCTAGACTGGCTCTCGGAAGAAAAGAAAAAAAAAAAAACCATCAGGTTGGTTACACTGTAAAAATGGAGCTGCTCAACCTTACCTGACTTTGATAAGTGCTTTGAGATCTAGGTTTGTACAGTGTTATGTCGGTATTTACACCACTCCTTTTGACTTGTAAACTGAGAAGATTTCATCTGGAGTTATTGAGAGGCCATAAATATGGAATTCAACCCTGATTATTCTTCTCACAAGCAAAATGAAGACTGTCCCTTTCTCTCTTTATCCAACCAAAGAGAAAGGGCGAAGTAACATCCACCAGATGCCATTAACAGCCTGCATCCTGTAACTATGAAGGATGGTTTGCTTAGCAACTTCTTACAGTAGTAGAGTGTATTTATACAAATAACTTCTATTTTTTTAGTGCCCAGAAGTTATTCATAGTGCTTCCCTTCTCAAAAGTGCTTAGTTTAATTACCAAAAAAGACACAGTGGATTACGGCAACAAACAATTGGTCAGGAGGCAGTGGGGGAATTAAAAGAAAGAGGCATGAAAGTTAGAACTGCACATCTAAATGATCCTGTGACCTCTTTTGGCCTATAAATAAATATCCATATGTGTACATACACACTTCTTTAAAATGGATTTTTAAAAATTGTTTTATAATCCCACACCTCTTTAAATTGGGGTCAAGGTTGCTGAAATGAACACCCAAACTGTGGCCTTGAGGGCACATGGGAACAGGGAGTGTGGGTGGCTTCAGTCTCTTCTCAGGGGACATGGGAGCAGTTAGCAGAGAAGCATCAGGTGACTGTAGACCTGCTCATTATGGTGAGAGCCCAGACCATGCATTCAAGTGGTAAATTGAGTGGGAGGGAGGGTAGGCAAGGTTTCAAAGTGTGTGCGTGTGTTGGGGGAGTGTAACTGGGTGGCTTGATCTTAAGGGCTGGATGGAGGGCCTACAGCTAGTCACCCCAGATCATGAAGGAGTAACACCTAGGTTGAATCAGGGAAGCAGGATGCAGAGAATGGCTGCAGCACAATATTCTCTGATCTCACACACCTCCCTATCTCCCCCACTCTCACTGGTGTAAAGTGATCTTCATGTAAGGGAGAATCAGGCCCCATCTGCCACTCTGACATTGGCTCACTACCCACATAGTCAGAATAACTAAAAGGTTCTAGTGGTGACTAATTTAAAATCTGAACCTGATAGAGATGCTGTGATTACACATGCTGTCTGTCTCGCCAGTTTAAGGACAGCTAGACTGTTAGCATTTTGAGTCACACTCCTATGTCCAAAGGGGAACTGTATGGCTGATCAAGAACACTACATATTTCATCTTGTTTGGGAACGCTGCATTTCTCTTCTCCCCCTCCCCCCCCCGGCAGATATTGAATTGGGAGTCTTTTTTTTTTTTTTTAATCTTGAGCATTCCATTCCAACCTTAACTCTCCTTAAATTACAATGTACAATACAAGAAACACTTAATAATCTGAGCATGGTAGAGCTGCTGGAAATGAGTCACTGTATTTTAATAGGGCAGGAAAAAACCCACAAAGCATCTTCAGTAGCAGAGGTAAGTGGCTGTGCCAGCGGGTCTTGTTTTGTCTCTCTTGTGTTAAAGCCAAGACCACAGACCGTTCCGTCCCTTAAAGGGGTTAAATGGTGAGCATCCAAGAATGTAATGTGGGGGGGGAAACTGTTTTTCCAGTAATTTTACTCTGAGCCTTTCATCCTAAATGATGTCTTCGTGTGCTCGACAAATTACAAGCATGCAGCACACCAGTAAGATGCAGGGAGTGTGGGAAAGTGGCACTGGCAACCATCTAGCACACTGTAGAATACAGATGGGGAGGGTAAGGGAAATTTTGACCGAGAACGCTGGAGTTTCTCTGTTCTTTGTTTAATTCTGTGACAGCAAAAATGGATCACAGCAGAACTGGTCAAGATTTCTCAAGAAGTCTAAGTTATATGGAATAAAACCTTTCCATAAAGGTCACCATTGTTTGAGCAGCTCTAGATCATAGTCTGTCTCAGTGATTTCTGTACTCCAGCATGTACCATTTAAAATTCAGACAATGGTTTTTAAGTAATCTTTCTGCAGATTAAGCCTGGATCCTGAGCAACGAGTTGTTCTCTTCCCGTCTCTCACCTGACCACCAGTAACACACGTTCTGCAGAGAAATTATACCTCTGACACAGGCACAATCCCATTGTCTTCATTAAGTTTGCACAGATTGGAATTTAGCATACAATATCTGGGAGGGGCTCTGCAGGGCAAGCAGCAGTAAAGAGTAGTGAAAATATATGGGTTAGAAACTGTAAAATTGTCAAGGTATGGGCTAGGTCCTCAGCTGATGCTAATTTACATCATCTGAGGATTTGGTTCTCTGCTTGCCACTGAAGTGAGCAGATATGACTGAATACGCAAACGAATAGCTCTGTCAAAGCAATAGTACTACTTTTACCTAGTCACTTTTCATTTAGACCTGCAGTCTTAAAGCACTACAAGATATTAAATGTTTGCCCAGGGGAGAAAGGGCCTTTATTGTGGGTTTTTTCAGATACAGAAAAAACAAACAACTGCCTAGAATTGTTTAGCCACCTCTGAAGGCCTGAGTGAACCCTGTTGGCAATTGGAGACTTTGGTGTCTGAGAGTCTACTAGTTTCAAAACATAACTAAGCTTGGTATCCCTCCTAGCTACACTTTATTCCGGGCTTACCCCATGTTCCTTAGATCAATGGGTCTCTAAACTTTTTTTTTTTTTTTTTTTTTGTCGGACCACTTGAAAATTGCTGAGGGTCTCGGCGGACCACTTAATGATCTATCCAAATATTGTTTGTACTGTTCGCTAACTATTATAAAGCACTCTAGATAAAAGCGCTATTTGGTCTACAAATAAAAGCACACAACTCAAATTTTAATATCAGTAGTCTTACCTTTCCAATGCGATGGATGTGCCCTCTCTCTCCCCCACCATGGCAGCTCCGAGCTGGGGCTAGGAAGGAGGGGGAATCTCTCCCCCGCCCTGGGGCTGGGGAAAGGTGGCTTTTTTTTTTTTT